CGATTCAGTAAGTCTCCCTTGCTTTGCAGGAGGGTCTAGGGAACATACTGCCTGGTCCCCACTCTTAAAAAGGCTTAGAGTTTTTCTGGGGAAGACAGGGCAGAGACCTGTGTGTTGACATGCTACAGCTGAGGGGGGTGCCTGACTGACTGATGGGGCTAATGGTACAGGCAGACAGGTTGTGCAAGAAGAGGAACGATGGAGACTGAGCTGGAGTTGATGGAGAGGAATTTGGGTCATGGGGCACCACAGGTGAGAGGGACAGTTGAGCAGAGGCAAGCGAGGAGAGCTGTGTGTCTGGGCCTTCAGGATTGTACACGTCTGGCTCTGCCACTTGTTAGCTCATGACCTTGGGCGAGTGCCTGAACCCCTTGGAGCCTCAGTTTTCTTACCTATAGAATGGGCTGGTAACTGTACCTGCCTGGTGGGCCTGTGGGAAGGGTGAAATGAGGTGATCCAAGGAGCACTTGCCACCCGATAAACTCTGACTTCTGCTGTTCTTTTAAACCTGACCAAGTGGCGCAAGAATGTGGGAGCCGGCGGTGCTGCACCTAGCGGTTCTTACTCTTTCCTGCTTCTCGGTGAGAACACTGTGTGTTCAGTGGGACACTCTACAAGCCTTTCTCTGAGCTGGAGACAGCCCTGCCCAAGGTTTTGTGCATCTTGGGAGGGGACACTCCTGTGTGGCTACTCCTCACATGCACCAGCCTCTGCCTTGGCCTGGAATGCTCCTGGGTAGACTGCCCCACGACCACCTCCCTCACGCCCTGCAGGCCTCTGCCTTTGTTCCCTGGCAGCGAGGTCCTCCCTGGCCAGGCAGCCACAGTCCTGCAGGCCCCTCTCCCCTCTTATTAAGCTTTATTTTGCTTTGTCCCCCTCATCACCACCAGCATCATGTGTTTTTCCAACTGGGCGTAGTGCACCAGGAGGACCAGCTGTCTTATCCACAGCTGAATCTCCCCGCACCTGGAAAGGTGCTTGGTCCATAGTAGGTGTCCAGTAAGTACTGTTGAATGAGTGGGTGGGGCATTTTGAGTAGATGGTGCTTCCAGATGTTAATAGAAGACTCCGTGTTTCAACCATCAGTCAGGAGAGGGCCTTCCTACTCAACCAGGACTTCAGTTCATACCCTGAGCACAGTGTCCCTTGGGTAACCAGGGGCCCAAGTGAGGATGTCCCTGGTCCAAGTGCCTGCATGGGCTGGGTACCTCCAAGGGTCCGCTCCCCCACCCAGCAGCCTCACTCTCAGGTTCTATCCAATCAGCATAGGGGAGAGTTTCGTTGGCCCTTTGGACCCTTTGTGCAGAGAGAGCTTTTTGAACGGGCATGTATCCCTCCGGGTGTGAGAACACTGAGCAAGTATAAGTGAGCGTGTTTTCACCCAAGGAAGAGTGTGGGTGGAGGTGCCTGTGGGAGGGAGGCAGAGTGAGTGCATGTGGGGGGTCGGGGGGGGGAGGGGATGAAGATACTTGGTCTCCATCCCCTGAGGCTCTGAGTGTGCTGTGTGGTGACCCCGGAGCTGGGCAGAGCTGGTGTCCTGGCCCAACTTGAGTCCTCTGGATTCAGCTGCGGAGGGTACACACTCTTGCTGCACAGAAGCCGTAAATTCCAGGAAACTCCCTGCAGCCCTGCGGAGTGGGGGAGGGAGTGGAGGCTAAGGCAGGCTGGTTCCCTAGCACTTGGAGAACAGATGTGTCTGCCTCAGGGAGAGCAGCAGAAGAAAGTTCAAACTAGAGTGTGTTTGCTCACTATAAAAGAGATGTTTGTGAGCGGGCCCTGGAGGGGAGGCCTGGTGTGGGGGGGCCCTGCCAGACGTCCTGACTGGGAGCCCACGGAGACCATTGTATCTTGCCGGAGGGGCAGGGGAGTGGGCAGTCGGGAATCAGGGGTGTGGGAGTTGCTGGGTCATCTTTCTGAGATGTACAGCCACCTCCAAACACAGTTGCTTGCAGCTCCTGAAAGAGGCTGGGCCAGAGGAGGTGGGGTCCCTTCCCACTGGAGGGCCGGATGGAAGGGGCCCCGCCCCAGGGGTTCCCGGATGACTGGCCAAGTGCTCACTGAAGCCAGTGAGGGGAGAGGAGGCGGGCGTGGTCCTCGCAGCGGGCTCTCCTCGCTAGCAGGCCCTCCGGCTGTTTGGAAGGCCCGAGCGGTCCCCTAGGCCCTTGAGCCGAACCCCCTTTGCGGTCTGATCTGAACCCTTGCCTGCCCCACCCCCTTCCTTCTCTAGCTTCTGGGGCTGGCCTTTTCAGCTCTGGAAGCTGCCCAAGAGCATATCTTTGAAGCACAGCAAAGGTTAGGAAGAAGGAAGACAGAAATGTCCTCTGGGCTGGGGGAGTGGGAGAAAGGAATTCCATGCATGCCCCATGGGGGTCAGGGTGGTAGGCCTGGTGGGACGATGGGCTTGGCCTGGGAGGTGCCCGGCATGTCCTGCTACCCACTTCTGGCTGCCTGGCCCTGTTCACAGTGAGCCCTCCTCCCCAGGCTGTGGGTAGGGAGCGGGAGCTGTGGCCTTTGTTTACGGTGCTTGTTTCAACCTTGGCCCTGCCATCCGCCCCTGCAGGATGCGAGACCTCGTAATTGTCTTCAATTACAGAGCTCCGGCCCTCAGCCCTGGCTTCCGACAGGAACCAGAGCCCAAGCCCGAGCCACTTCCACGGGGGCTGGGAGCAACCCAGCCCCCTCTGCAAGGTCTGGAGGCTCTCATGGTCCCCAGAGCTCCGGCAAATGCCCACGGGCCCTGGGCTTCGCTCACAGGGCGGCCCGAGGGCTGCTGATCGCCCATCCCTGTTGAACACCCACCTTCTTTGTCCCTGATCAGGATGAAACTTCTGTGAGCAGTGAAGATTTTGATATGAACGATTCCACATGGATGTCAGCTGACCCACACCTGGCCTCCAGCCTGAGTCCCAGCCAGGACGAGAGGATGCGGAGCCCGCAGAACCTCCACAGCCAAGAGGACGGTGAGTGTCTCTCGGTGGCTGGTGGGGGAGAGGCCGTGCAGGACAACAAGGCCCTAGGAATCTGGGCCAGGACCTCTGGGGGTGGCCCAGGCTTACAGGTGCCCCCACAGTGTTCTCCACATCTCCGTGGGCCCCACTGCCCAGCTCCCGGTTCCAGGGAGACCAGGTCACTCCTCCCAAAGATAAATGGATGGCTCTCGGGGACTGGTCGCCTGACGGCGGGCATCATGCTGGCTTGTTTGTCCTGATGCTCAGGAGCTGATGTGATTTCTGTTACCACGGTTCAGGTCTGGGTGGTTCACAGTGTGCTTGGCCGGAACAGTTCATTGGTGCAGCAGTGAAAGCAACGCCAGGCTTCTGCCACTCTGAGGGAAGGCTGTAGGGACAGGGTCCCTGCCTGTCACCTGGCGATGGAGCAGGCAGTGCGCTTCTCCACATGCCCCCAGTCCCGGGGATGAGATGGGGCCCGGGCTGAGGAGCTGTCTGTTCTTCCCTACCCTGGCCCTGCTGCCTCCAGGGCCTGCCAGGCACCACCTCCAGCCTCCCTGAGAAGAGAGACTTCCTCTTTGGGGTGGGAGAGTCGTGCTCAGCAGTCACGCCCAGAAGTCTACTCCAGTGCCCCCTGGTGGCGGCCCCGGGATGCGGGGCACTGGGGCTCCAGTGCCTGCCTCAGTTGGGTGCAGTTGTTGGCCTCAGGGGGCACCTATGGTCAGTGTCCTGTCTGGGTTCTGTTTTCTGGGGAGGAGGTGACTGGTGCTAGGGGATGAGCCACACCAGGCCTCAGAGAACTGGGGTGTAGAGCTGGCAATTAGGAGGGGTCGAAGGTCGGGGCCTGGAATGTGAGAGGGAGGTGCAGGGTTAAAAAGGGGTGTAATGTTAACTCTGTGAAACGGGTTAGCCTTAGAGAGTAAATAAGGGGTAGGAGCCTTGCAGTTAGGGTCAAAGTTCATCTCCATGGCAGAACCGCTCGCCTCTGACTGCTTTCTCAGACCTGAATCCGGCTTTGTCTGGGAGGAGACTCCGCCCGAGGCAGCTGGGTGGCTGGGCCAGGGCCTGGGGAGCCCAGGAGGTGGTTCTTTGAGAAGAGGGTGCAAGGCTACTGGGAAAGAAAAGGCTTTTGTGCCTTGCTACCTCGTGAGGTCAGCACGACCCCTTGTGCTTCCAGCCTCCAGACCAGTGCTACCTTCTAGCTCCCCTAGCAGGTGGGGACCTGGGCGGAGGCCGCCACATGCTGCTGGGGGCACTGAGGCTGGGAAGGGCCCAACAGCTGACCTCCCTCCTCAGCTGAGGTGATTGGGAGCCATACCCAAGGGCTACTCCAAGGGCCCCTACAACAACGCTCAGCCTAGGGTGTCAGTTATATTCTCCCAAGAAGGATCCAGAACACGTTTTTTTTAAAGAAGGAGAGTATTTTTTTATTTTATTTATTTTTTTATATTTTTATTGATTTCAGAGAGGAAAGGAGAGGGAGAGAGATAGAAACATTAATGATGAGAGAGAATCATTGATTGGCTGCCTCCTGCACACCCCCTACTGGGGATCGAGCCTGCAACCCTGGCATGTGCCCTTGACAGGAATCGAACCCGGGACCCTTCAGTCCGCAGGCTGACGCTTTATCCACTGAGCCAAACCATCTAGGGCCAGAACATTTTTTTTTTTAAACTCAGAGTAGTAGGACTGAATGGGGCCCCAGCTTATTCTCAGACAAGTCCTGTGGTATTGTTCCCCACAACCCCCCCGGAGGGCTGGCCTCCGTTGGAGACAGTTCCAGGGAGGTTTGGTGATTTGGGGGGGCTCCGGGATCAGGGAGCAGAAGGGAGTGTTTCTGTGGTGGTCACGGGGCTTCCTCAGCATCATTGGCCCGCTGCCCAGAGGCAGCAGAATCATGAAGATGAAGCAGAGAGAAGCGCAAAGAGGCTGGTGGGGTCAGCATGTCCTGCAGCCGGTCCCCCAGGAGCCTTGTGGGGAGCCCAGCCTGGGCGTGGTCACTAGTATTCCCCTCACCTCGCCCCCTGCCATTCAGGTCCCTCCTGGCCTGGGTGCTGGGGCTGAGGCAGGCTGGCCTGCTGACAGAACATGGGTGTTTATCAGGGCGGGCAGCCAGAGCTGGAGACAGGGAGGATGGTGTTGACCATGATACCATCAATTTAATTATTTAATCAGAGGCTGTGTCTGGAGGCTGTGGGCTGATGTGCTGGCCAGAGGCCAACCTAAGCCCCGTGCGGGGGTCGCAGGCCTTGAGAATGCCCAGCCTGCTGGCCCTTCTGGTCCCAGATCTGTTGGTGACGCCATGTCAGACCAAAGCAATGGGCTCCCAAAGGGTTGTGGCTGACACAGCCCCAGCCCCCACAGTGGCATGCAGCCAGCATCCTTCTCTGAAGGTACTTCGAGTGCAGACAGGCTGAGCTCCCGCTCCGAAAGTGAGTCAATGGGAGACCATCGGGGCTGCAGGGTGTTCTCATGTCCCCTCTTGTTAACGAAAGTGGGGACAGGCCAAGCAGGAGCTCTAGTTGGCACTGCACTCCACACCCAGCCTCAGCCCTCCACGGTCTCCGCTCCCTGCTCATATGCCTTCATCCAGAGGCTTCCCCAGGCCCACTGACCATCTCTAACCCATGGAAGTGGCAAGTTGGAAAGATGATGTCTGAGGCCCCCACCGTGAGCTCTGAGATGTGGACCGTGTCAGTGTCACTCTCTGCTCCGTCCCAGTGAACGGAGCTGCATGCCAGGCACACTGGAGGGGCCTGCTGAATACTTGTGGTCTGGATGAATAGAGGAACTACTTTTTTGAGACCTACCAGAGAGGATATAGGTCTGCCCTTTGTTGAGGACAAGTTGGGCTTCTCCTCCTCCTCTTCCTCCTCCTCCTCCTCACTTTTCAAGTTTTAACAAAGGCAGATGAAAGCAGGCAGTCCCAGGGCTGAGACCCAGGAATGAGTGATAAACAGGCCAGCTCCCCATCCCCGCAGCTTTTCTCGAGGTTTGCTGGCCGGTGGGAGTGTGCTTGCAGTCAAGTAAGCTTATTTTTCTTCCCCGGGCCCTCCCTCCATTGCCTGCAAGGCTTTACTTCCCAGATCTCTCTGTGGCCATTCCCAGCTCCCTGAAATCACAGCACTGGGCCGGAGCACCACTGGCAAGGCACTTCCTCGCTGGGGCTGTAGCTGCCATGGTGAGCACATCACCCTTGTCTCCTGTCAGGAGAGGAAACAGGATCAGGGAGCGGATTTGGGCACCTGGCGTGAGGCAGGAGGTACGCAGGCTGCCCTCTTCCTCCTTGGCACGCATCAAGGCCATGTGTGAGGTTCTGGGGACCAGGTCTCGATAAATAGTTGTTCCTGCCCTGACCGGTTTGGCTCAGTGGATAGAGTGTCGGCCTGCAGACTCAAGGGTCCCAGGTTCGATTCCGGTCAAGGGCATGTACCTTGGTTGCGGGCACATCCCCAGTAGGGGGCGTGCAGGAGGCAGCTGATCGATGTTTCTAACTCTCTATTCCTCTCCCTTCCTCTCTGTAAAAAATCAATAAAATATATATATATATATTTTTAAAAAACAGTTGTTCCTCTCTTCCCCAGAAATGGGCACGGAAGTGTGGGAACCAGAGGAGGCCCCCTACACACCCAGAGCATTGCCTTTTCAGGGGCCTAGAGTGACCCCTCCCGTGCTGCTCACACAGCCAAGACCCCTCCAGACCACCGCCAAGCCTGCTGAGGCTCTGCGCTTTCTTTGGAGTCCAGACAGCACTCTGGCCTCAGCACAGATGCCTGGAAAAGCACTCTGTCCCAGGGCTGCCTGTTGGGGCTGGAGGGAGGATGCCCGGGAGAAACCAGCTGTTGAGACTTTGCCCAGAGATGCTGTGGTCTGGGGCTGACTTGGGCCTGAACAGCGTGTGAGTCTAATGACGCTCTGTCGGTGGATTATCTGATGCCCGTCTCTTCCCGGATACCATGGGCACCCTGAGAGCGCAGGGCCTGGCCCAGAGCAGGCAGATCGGAATGTCTGTTGAATGAATGAGTGAGTGCAAGAGTGAACGAGGGCGGGCACACAGGCAGGTGAGCCGGCAGGCCCCTGGCCATCAGGTATGTGGCGAGGCCGGGGTGCCCACTCCGGCAGGCAGCGCCAGGCCAGGGCCCCTCCTGCCCTTTCCTCTGGATGTGCTTCACCAGGCCTCTTGCTCTGCCCCTTCCTGAACGGAAAATGTGAGGCCTGGCCTTCAGAAGGGACGCATGGGGGTGGGGAGCGGACATTACTCACCCCCGGGCCAGACAGGAAACCAGCACCAGGAGAACTGAGGGTCCTGCTTCCTTTTTCCTGCAGGGTCACCGGGAGTTGCCGGCTGGGGGGTGTCCTGGGGCGTTCCAGGGCCTCTTGTTTGAGTCTCTCCGATGAGACGCTCCTCTAGCCTCGGCCTCTGGGACCCACGGGGCCTCAGAGCTTCCTTCCCCCTGGGGACAGGGAGCCAGCTGACCGGCCATTACCGGGCTGTGAGGCCTTAGGTTCTTCCAGGCTCGTCCTCAGGTCTGTCATGGGAAGAGTGAGCCTCTACCGTGACATGCAAACAACCGTAAGCCCACCCTGCCTTGAAGGAGCCTGCCCTTGGGGCTCTAAGCTTTCGGAGGGCAAAAGGGGCATCTCCGTAGAAATGTATCTTATTTTTCTCCTTGTTTCTAAAGTATTGCATTCAATGTGAAAAAGTTAGAAAAAGACAGAGGAGGAAAAAAATGAAAAAGACCAATGTTTGGGGCATATTTTTCTTGATCTTCTCCGTGTGTGTAATCAATCTCATTTTCTTCAAAAAGTGGGGAGGGGGCCCTGTCGTTGCGGCCATCTTTTTTTCCACTTAATGTCGTTTGCCTCTGCCCCTGTGACTGCAGTGGCATTTTTAAAGGTGGTTTGTTTAGTTCAGTGACGGGGGCCCCTTCCTGGGCCCCCTGTGTGCTGGGCCCCAGCTGGTGACAGGCGGGGACCCTGTGCGTCAGGGCTATGACTCTGCTTTTCCTACC